GGTGAGATGAAGATCGGGTGTCTTGCGAGCACGAGGTGAGGTATCTAGGTCCTGGAGGCGCTAAGAATTGCGGACAGAAGGCGGTTTAAGAATAGTCAGTGCTGCGGGGATGGGGGAGTGGGGAAGCCTCCCCGCCCCCCAACCGCCACCTCGTGCACGCGGTTGTCAGTGCGCCTGCGCAGTAGCATGTTCTGTTAAATCCGCCGCCATTGGCGTTGGTTTCGTGTTGTACGGGCTGGATGCGGACCCGTGCAGGTCGCGTCTTGCCGTCTGGATTCTTCCTTGCTGTGTGAGGCTCAATTGGTAGGTCTCCGGATCAGTCCTCCCAGCAATTTAAGCGTGAAGTAGAAGTTGCAGGCTTCGGGTGGGTAGCGGCGATGTGGTTTCCTGCTTCCAAGGAGGGAGGTCCTCGAGGTTCTCTTCTTCCTCTGCCTGTCTCCGCAGGCCTGGCCCCTTTTTTCCTTGTTGGCTTGTTGGGGTGCGGGTGAGATGAAGATCGGGCGTCTTGGGGCCTTGGTTTGAGGTATGTGTGTTCTGGAGGTGCCAGTAACTGCTGACGGAGGGCCGATTTGGGAATGCCCGGTGGTGCCCGGGTGAAGGAGTGGGGGAAGCCCCGCCCACTGGTCGCTGCCCGACTCAGTGCCCCGGCGCACTGCTATGCTCTTTCCCGGTGGCCATTTGCATGGGACAAGTGCCGTGCCTTCTGGTTGTGAAGCTGTGTGCCTTGCATCGTGCTCTCTGAATTCTTTCTCACTGACTGAGACTCAATTGATAGGTCCTCAGACAGTCTCCCTAGGAATTTACGTTTGAGTGAGTGTGAGGGGTCAGCCAGCCGGCTTTGGGGCTAGTAGGGATGGCGTGGTTTCCAGGCCTGAGGAAAAAGTCCTCAAGATCTTCCTTTTCACAGGGGTCGGGGCTGTCATGGAGGCACTCGGCACTGCTGACAGAAGGAAAATTTAGGAATCTCCAGTGGGGCCCAGGCAAGGGGGTGGGGAAGCAGCGTGCGTGCCTCGCGCTGCTGCATCTTCACCCTCGGGTGTGGGGTATTGCAATGACTTCTGGGTGTTGAGCCCTGTGGGTCTTGTCTCACTGTCTGGATTCTTTTCGTGCAGTCTGAGACTCATTTGGTGGGTCGGCCGGTCAGTTTTTCCAACAGTTTCACTGTAAGTGTGAGGAGGGTGCCAGTAGATATTTGGGGGGTGGGGTGAGGGCAGAGTGGTTCCTAACCCCTGAGGAGGACAGTCCTCGAGGCTGTCTTCTTATGGACGTCACAGCCACCATGGCCCTTGATGTGGTGGCAGGGCAGGATGAGGGAGGAGGGTGAGCTGGGGACAGAGGGGGGTCAGATGAAGACGGAGTTGTCTTGGCATTATTTGAGGTATTGGAGTCCTGGGGGCACAAGGAACTGCCAACAGGGCACAGACGCGGGAGTTGTCAGAGTCTGAGGGGCCCTTGGGGAAGTCGCAAGTGCACTGGAAAAGAAATGCCCTAGAAAGGGGGATTGTTGGGGGGTTGCATCCCTGAGACTCGAAGTGTACCAAACAGAGGACCAAGAGAGGAGAGTGCCATGTGTAGCCTTCATTGCAGGCACTGAACTCTGCAATTCTAGTGCAAAAATAATTGGAGACGGTCTATCAACAACGAACGTGGTTAAGTATTCCAGTAAAACTTTATCGGAGGTGTGGAAAGAAAGGGCTTAGTCAATCAGAGTGTGCGAACAATAGTGGGTACTCAGTTTTTAATTCTCTGGTGGTAGTTTCTTTTTTGTTGTTGTTGTTGTTTTTAAGATTTTATTTGTTTGACAGAGAGAGAGAGCAGAAGCAGGGGGAGTGGCAGGCAGAGGCGGAGGGAGAAGCAGGCTCCCCGGAGAGCAGGGGGAGCACGACAGGTCCCTGGGATCATGACCTGAGCCGAAGGCAGTCGCTTAACCAGCTGAGCCACCCAGGCGCCCTGGTGGTAATTTCTTAAATGTCTTCATGATGGTGAATCAAGTTGTGAAACCAGATCCCCTTCAAGATATATTCTTGTCTTAATCATGTGCGTAATTTAATTTCTCTGTTAGCCCGGTCATGAAATGAGCAGTTGCCTTCGCAATTTGCCAGATTTGGAGTGCCTGGAGAGCTTGGACAATGAAATTACCCTTAGACTAAGTTTAAAAATATTCTCAGTGTTGAGAAAAAAAGCACATGTCTCCTTTTGGCCTCAGAAGCGGTCAAATGTAACTGTCTTGTCAAGTGTATTTTCCAAATCCCTGTATTCTGCTTTCAGTGGAAATATGAATCGGCAAGTAAGGTCAACATTCAGACCTAGAGGAAGACGAGATGATGAAATACCTTTGCAGCTAATTGGGCCTGTGTTTGTAAGTACTTGAACGTTTGTTTTTTATTAGTAGATATTTATTTTTGTGAAAACGTCAAACTAGTATAGATATACTGATGAGGACTTTCCATGCTAAGGAGCCTTTATCCAGGAGCATTACATTCTGTTCTTTTCTGGATGGATGCGGTTATGTTCCTGGGAAACATACCTGATGACTTTTTCATGCTTATTAACAACCGATTGCACACATCCATCTCAACATCGATATAAGTAGCTTCCAAAGCCTTTGAGGAAAGCTCTTTTGGAATAGCCTCTGTGGGAAGAGCAATTTTATTTAAGAATAAGTATATTGAAGGGTATTGGAGAAATGTCTTTAGATTTTTGTTGGTGTAGGTGCTGTTAAACCATTGTATAAATTCCTTTTCTGTGTGACCTCTTTTCTAGGTGTGAAGAGTCTGGTCTGCCAGTCTTCAAGTCTTTCTCAGTTATTTACATATATGCGGTCATTATCTAGATGTATATATGGGATGAAGTGAGCTTAGAATCCACCTGCCCTGCTATCTTCTATTGTATGCTAGGTATTTATGTCATTGCTGTGTGTTAACTACACAACCTTTATCTGTTTACATGTACATACACATACTCCTAGGCCCAGCTGCCTGGTGGTGAGCAACCTCAAGGGGAGGAGCCACCGACTGAGAGTCCGGATATTATACCTGATGAAGAGAAAAAAGAAGGAGCATCTGTGGTTGAAGGTGACGGGAAAGGGGGGTGTGTGTGAGTGTATGTGCGTTTCACGCATCGCGATGTACTTGTAACAGAAGGGAAGACACAATAGAAAGGAATCTCAAACCTTGCCTGGAAATTGGCTGGAATGGTGAAGAGGATATAGTTTGCAACCTAGGGCGGTTCCTCAGGACAGTAAGTTTCCCCCATTTTATAAATGAGAAAATTAAGGCTCAAGGATTGTGTTTATCAAAGAGCCATTTGACTATTGAAAACAAAATTTGTGTATTTTTAAAGTGGCTCTTAAAAGTTTACATTTTTCTATGGTTAGAAAAACCAAAAGAGGGTCCCCTGGGTGGCTCAGTTGGTTAAGCATCTGCCTGCAGCTCAGGTCATGATCTCAGGGTCCTGGGATGGAGCCCCGCATCGGGCTCTCTGCTCAGCGGGGAGTCTGCTTCTCCCTCTCCCCCTGCTCGTGCGCGCTCTCTCTCTCTCTCTCTCTCTCTCTCTCTCTCTCACTTGCTCACTCACTCTCTCCAATAAATAAGACATAGAAGAAAATCCCAAAGCTTAATTATCCTGAGATTAATATGAGACAATTTATTTCTCCCAGATGCATAGTATTCCCAGCATAGAGTATTTTGAAGGAAGATCTCCACGTAATTCAGGCCACTGTTAAAGGTTTCTAGAAAGAAAATGACTGACCACAATGTCCGTTCATTTCTTTCTACCTTGCCTTTATTCTGACTGTAAAATAGTATACTTATCGTTACTCTCGAATAACTTCGCTCTTCCTGTTGGTTCTTTGTTGTGCATGGGATTCACTTACGGAACATTACACATAGGGCCTTTGGACCTAAGTATAACTTTATTTTAACAAAGTAAGTTTTCTCTTACCCCAAAAGGGGATGGGTGTCACTACTATAAGATTTGCCATCGGTCTGCAAATACGCTCCGCTAATTCTTCAGAGAGTGACATTTTAATTGTAGTTCAAATCCTCCCCACGGTGTAGACTTCAGACTGTAGAGTTGCTGCTCCCCGCTCTTAGTACGCTATGGCAAAATACTACAATTGTACATGTATTATGGTTTATGCTTCGACTGTCATTTAAAATAAAGGTTTCCTAATACAGGAAACATATGTAAAGTCCATTCATAGTTGCTACTAATGTTGCAAAAGAGTCCCTCCATACTGAACTGTACACTTGAAAACGGTTAAGATGGGATATTTTATGTTACACATTTTTCAACCACAATTAAAAATGAAGTAACTACTGTCTTGTGAAGTACAATGTCATATATTCTTTTTATTCTTTGTAGTTCTAAACCACAAAATTTACAGAAAATTTACAAGGGTAGTGCAGTTATATATATATATATTTATAGTTATCCAAAATTTTCACCTGGAGTCACCGATTGTCACTATGTTTTACCACTCTGGTTTCATACCCTCGTCCCTTTCCGTTACATATACACACATACCCTTATGGTATGATACCGATATGTGTATGATTACTATGACTACTGATGAATCATTTACATAAAGTTCAACTGTTATGATCCTTTACCCAAAGAACCTAAGTGTGTGCATCTCCTCCAAACGAAGAAAGTCATTCTCTGGGCTAACCACTGGACAGAGACTTGACAGTGGAAAAATGCAGTCATTTGATAAAGAGTGTAAATCAGTTTCCCCAGGTGTCCCGATAATTTCCTTCATACGATTTTTTTTGGATCCAGAGTCCAGTTTAGGATCATGCGTTTGCATTTAGTTTTTTAAAAATACTCATTTATTTACATGAAAGAGCAAGTGAGAGCGGGGCAGGGGCAGAGGGAAAGAATCTCAGGCAGACTCCCTGCTGCGCCTGATGCAGATGTGCACGGGGCTGGATCTGCCGACCCCGAGATCATGACCTGAGCTGAAATCAAGTCAGATGCTTAACTGAATGAGCCACCCAGGTGCTCCACACACAGCTTTATTTATTTATTTTTTTAAATCTGGAATGGTTCTGCCCATCTTTGATGACAAAGCAGTTGGTTTGCAGAATCCTTATCAATTTGGGGCTTCAAGACTTTTCTTTCCCCTCGACATTTATTGGCGTCTGCTCTTGCCACATCACATGCTAAGTATTGAGAGACATGCTTTCAGCCTTGAACTCTCAGTCTAGTCAGAGACTCAAGTCACTGGCAAGTATAATCACAAGTACAGTATAGGCAAGTACAAGGGGGACACCTGAGCTGTCTGAGGGCAGTCTTGAAAAAGGAAAAAGGCAAGAAAACCCTGCTTTACTAGTTTCTGGTAACGGACCCCTGAAATGATGCTCTTGTAATTCTTATCGCATTTACTACCACACTAGCCTAAGACTTTTGTTTCATAATACTGAGGAAATGAATAGTATTTCCTTATTCATAGCTCACGTTTTACCTCTTAAATTGATCACCTTTTAATTTTCAAGGGCCTGCCCCGGAGCCTAATCCAAAGGAACTGGCGGGTGAAAAGACTGGGCGTGAGCGGGGAGATGGTCCTGATGTCCAACGGAGGGGACTTGCAAATCTAGAGCCCCTTAAGATGCCAGAGGCAGGTATGTGATCCATTAAGCATGCAAAGTATAGCGCGTCTGTTTTCTGCAACGTTATATACTTAATAATAGAGGTAACTTTATTGTTACCTCAGTAACCGAGTTCCCATATAAAAATTATTTGAAATGTAGTTCAGATCCCAGATGGCTGACTTCCAGACTATTAGGCATAGATTGGGTCAATGCCATATAAATTACAAAATAGGAAAACAGTTTCTTTTACGTGTAAGTTCTTTAGCCAAGAGCTGATAATTTCAGATACTTTTAGAGAGAGCCACTTCTTAAAAGTTTTTTTAAAGATTTCATTTATTTATTTGACAGAGACAGTGCGAGAGAGGGAACACAAGCAGGGGGAGAGGGAGAAACAGGCTGGTGGACTCTCACGACCCTGAGATCATGACCCTGAGATCACAACCTGAGCCAAACCTGAGAGTTGGACGATTAACTGAGTGTGCCACCCAGGTGCCCCATGGAGAGATTATTATTATTATTTTTTTTTTTTGAGAAAGAGCACCAGGCACAGGCACAAGCAGGGGGGAGGGGCAAAGGGAGAGGGAGAAGCAGACTCCCCGCTGAGCAGGGAGCCTAACATGGGGCTCCATCCCAGGACCCTGGGATCAAGACCCAAAGGCGGATGCTTAGGCGACTGAGCCACCCACGTGCCCCCCAAGGAGAGATTCTTAATAAAAGACTGGTATGAATCATTAGGAAAAAGAAAAAGAATCCAGCTAACAGAGAGATCAATGAGAGTGCTCTTCTGGAAAATATTTATGAAGAGAGGATCCACTAGTTAACATAATTTTGAAGAAAATGGAGAAAAGCCAAGTATACACAATAAAGAATATGAACAAGACAGTAACAGATATTGAATATATATTTGGCTTTCCAGTTTCTTTTTTTTTCCTCTCCCCATTCCGCCCCCCTTTTTTTTTGGCCACCCTGAGAAATGATACTGTTTCTCCTTCAGGATTTGATGTTACCTTGATGGTAAATGCCTTGAAACTGGTGTGACCATATAATGTGTGCAGACGGGCACACACCTAAGTATATAAAGAGGCACTGTTCCTAATTACAGCAGACATATGGGTGAAAACAGGGCCAGATGGTCACCCTACTTAAAACAACCACCTAAGGGCTAAACTAGCTTAAAGTACAGTTCTGCACTTTCCACAATAGAGTCAAAACAAATGCAATACTAGCCTTTCTATTTATTTCACTTGAGCAATTCCAATCATGACATTACTGTTTTAGATAATCTTATATTCTGAAGGTTTTCTCAAATAAAAACATTTCATTGATAACTTTTTTTTAATTTTTTTTAAAGATTTTATTTTATTATTTATTTGAGAGAGAGAGAATGAGAGATAGAGAGCACGAGAGGGAAGAGGGTCAGATGGAGAAGCAGACTCCCCGCAGAGCAGGGAGCCCGACGTGGGACTCGATCCCGGGACTCCAGGATCATGACCTGAGCTGAAGGCAGTTGCCCAACCCACTGAGCCACCCAGGCGCCCTCATTGATAACTTTTTCAAAGCTGCTTTTGTTTCTTAGGTTACTTGTTGGTTGGTTGGAGTCTTATTAACAGTATAAGAAATTGTTGCTTTCTATTCAGAACTACCTGAGTAAATGCGTCGGGTTTAATCTTTTCCGAACTTGAACCGTTCCTTTCTCTGTGGTATTAGAAAGTGTCATTTCTATGCCTTTTAGTGTTGTCTGAATAAAGTTCTGCAAAGTAATGTTACGTTTCTCTTACAGGTGAACGGAAACCACAGGTTTAAACGAAGACAAGCTGAAGCCACGTGGGCAGTTCTTGTGTTGCAAAAGTGGCTAACATTCTCTCAGGAAAGTTTTGTTCTTGTGTTGAAAAGTGGCTAAAATTCTCTCAATAAACTTTTGTTCTTGTGTTGAGAAGTGGCTAAAATTCTCTCAATAAAGTTTTGCAGTTTCGTCCAAAGAAGTCTTGCACATCTTTTGTGAAATTGATTCCTAGGAATTTGAGGTTCTTGAAAATAGTAGTTTTTTTGAAATTTCATGTGTATGTATTCTTTATAAGATCAACAGTGACTGTTTTTTAAAGATTTTATTTATTTATTTGACAGAGAGAGAGAGCGAGAGCAGGAACACAAGCAGGGGGAGTGGGAGAAGGAGAAGCAGGCTTCCCGCCGAGCAGGGAGCAGGGAGCCCGATGCGGGGCTCGATCCCCGGACACCGGGACCATGACCCGAACCGAAGGCAGACGCTTAACGACTGAGCCACCCAGGCGCCCCAGAAAATTTGTATTTTTAAAGTTTAATATTTAAATCCCAGTACAGCTAACCTACAGTGTTACATGGGTTTCAGGTGTATAATTTCGTGATTTGACGCTGTGGAAAACAGGATGGCGGTTCCTAGAAAAATTAAAAATAGAATTACCTTATGATCCAGTAATTCTCCTACTGGGTATTTGCCCAAAGAAAACAAGACATAATTTTTGTATATTGCTTTTTCTGTCAAGCAACCTTGCTAAATATGCTTATTAATATCCAAAGTTTATCTTCCGATCCTTTATAATTTTCAAAATATATAATCCTATCATCGTTGAGTAATAAGTTTTTTCCCTGCCATCTTACCTTCTTTTAGTTACTTAATTTTTGTTCCTGCCATTTTATATTTTTATTTCTTTGTTAAAGATGTTTTATTAATTTGACAGACACAGAGGGAGAGAGGAAACACAAGCAGGGGGAGTGGGAGAGGGAGAAGCAAGCTTCCCGCAGAGCTGGGAGCCCGATGCGGGGCTCGATCCCAGGACCCTGGGATCACGGCCCCAGCCGGAGGCAGACGCTTAAGGACTGAGCCGCCCAGGAGACCCCCTTCCTGCCATTTTAAACATTACATCTTTTACTTCCTTCTTTTATGGCAGTAGGCAGACCCACCCAGTTTAGTGATGAATAGGACTGGTGACTGGGGACATCCTTGTGTTCTCCAGGATTAGAAATGGAAAATTTTCAACATTTTACCATGATGTTCAGTGTACATTTTTGGTAGATACACTCTATCAGAGTAAAGTCCTTCTAGTCTATTTCTGAGTTGCTGGCAGTATTCATCTTGAATATATGTTGAATGTTAGCAAACACATAGGGATTTATTGAGA